TATTTTGATATTTTTTCCAATTTATTAATTTTATATTCTTCATTGAAAAAATAAACTTGTGCTCTTTTACTTTTCCTTCTCCATCGAGAAAGAGGACGCATTTGCCGGTGTTGAAGAGATTTTTCCAATCGCGAAATCAGGTTTTGATCCATTTCCCTCTCTGCAGAATCCATCATTATCAGCTATTGACCTCAATTTCTCGTTAATTCTCTCATTTTTCCAGCTCATTTCTCTCGTTTGGTTAATTGGTTAATAGAATTTCCCAATTGCTCTATCCTGTGAACTTCTTGATCATCTTTGTGAATTTTACTTGCTGCGAATTGGCCTACGTTATATAAAATTCGAAACTTTTAAACTCAATTCTCAAACTTAACATAAGCTTTTTGGTTGCTTAGCTTATGCAAAATCATGTTTGATGCAGGGGACGTCATGCTAAATGAGATTCTGAGTGAGAAGGCTATAGTTAGTTTCTAATGGAGATAAGATATCTGCCCATTTCTTTGGCAACAACAGCTTTGAGCTTTGTGGGTTTACAAGTCTGGACGGAGTTGTCTCTTGATAGACTTAGAGCTGATGGGATTATCACCAAGAACGTTTCTTTAGGAGATTCTGAGAATACCCTTGAGCTGCTTTTGAGTTCTTACACTACAATTGCCTTGCTGGCAAGTTTTGTACTCAATGTGTACATTCTTCTTGTTCTTTCTCTCAAGGTAAGAGTGGTCTTTTACTTCCAAGGTTTAATTTAAGCCTTACTTTGTTCTTTCTTTAGATGGAATTCAGTTTAAAGCTCATCGTTTGGCTATTAGAAACATCATGAAATATAAGTTTGCACCTGTGATTTAAGAGTTGTGGTGTAAGAAGCAAGTATTTCTGACCTGAAGGAGTTAAAACTCTTGTTCTTTGCTAGTTAAATGGCTTCTATGAAACTAAATACTCAAGTAGATGGAGCTTCATGCTATTTGTTGCCTCATTGATCTGCACATACTTGTAGGGTAGTAATAGACTAGCTGTTTTGGGAAATGTCTTTCAACCATTATTTGAGCATCTAATAGCTCTTTATAAATCCTGCAGACTCTGTTTTTTGGGGATCTATATGCCATTGAAACTAGAAAGCTGGTGGAAAGGCTTGCCAATTACATCATTTACAAGGTAGTTGTTTGTACTTTGATGAATAGATTGCAACCGAAATTTTCTGTCACTTATATAGTTATATGATATCTTGGATATTTTGTTGTCTCCTTTTCTGAATATCTTAATTGTTGCAAAAAAGGATGAAGACGACATCCTACTTAAAATGACAAGCAGTAATGGTACAGGAGCATATATTTCTACCACTTTATTCAATTGGGATATCTGATCTGTTTGCCTTAATTGGGTATTTGAGTTATTTGCAGATGTATGCCTTTTTCATGTTAATAATCTTCTTGGCTACTCCTGTTTTTAGGGCACTTTTCTGCCATTGGTGGTTCCACCAACAGTATTTCAGGGGGTCCTATGGACAATCTGCTTGACTGTTCTGTGTACTCTAAAGCTATGGCATATAGGTTGTATAATTGGCTTTCTTGAGTTATGATCAGAAAGTACTGAAATTTTTTTCAAGACACCCTAATGTGTAGTAAAATGTTGTGTAGATGTTTCAAGCTTTGGCTAGAGATCGGCTTGATCGATTGAATGCGTCTCCTTCTTCTACTCCTTGGACATACTTTCGTGTGTATTCAGCACTGTTCATGGTTCTCTCCGCTGATTTGTGCTGGTATGTCCTAAACTTTTTGGTATCATGTGAATTTTTTAGTTGCGGCTTTTTCAACCTGTTTTTTCTCAAATATGAGTGTATGTTTCCCTTCTTTATTCAAAATACGAGCGTAATGTTTTCCTCCTAGTTTCTATCTCTGGAACCAAATATATTCTTAAAATAAAATAAGGTACAGTTGTATATCAAAGGAGGCAAAACAAATTAACCCTAAGTCTCTGAATGGTGCACATGACTTTCATGATGCATATAGTTTCTAGTGAAAGCAGTGTAATTTTCTGCTCATAAGACAAAACATAAGCTTTAGTATGTTCTGAGGGCGCATATACCGGGCACCAATATATTGAGCGGAGAAAATGTTGTGTTCTAGAGTTGCCATATGTTTTATTAGACTGCAGTTCAATTAGGAGAAAATAGGGATATCTTTAAATTAAACACCAGACCTCTGGATTATCTGTTCTAGTGATTGAAGAATGAACTTGTTCGTCTCTGGATGTTAATATTGTCTAATCTTGCAGGATAAAGCTTTCCCTTATGATATACAGTACAATTGGTTCATCTGTGTATTTATTGTTACTTTTTGAGCCATGCAGTGTAGCTTTTGAGACATTGCAGGTACTTGAGTAAGATAGTTGTATTCATTGTTTCTGTTGCCCTTCTTTGTAACCATGCCTAAAAAATAGAGGGTTGACCAATCGCATATTGGATCATATTTCAGGCGTTGTTGATTCACGGGTTTCAACTACTTGATATGTGGATCAACCACTTTGCAGTCAAGAATTCAGATTGCCAAAGATCAAAGTTTTATGATTCTATGACAGCAGGTTTTGTCTTCTCTCAGCATATGACTGTATTTAAATTTTCTGTTAGACTGCAAGCGTGCATAATCTTGGAAAATCTTGGCCTATTTGATGTTCACATTACTGACTTGAGCTCTTACCCTTTGAATAGGCTCATTATTAGAATGGAAAGGTCTCCTCAACCGGAATCTGGGTTTCTTCCTAGATATGGCTACCTTGGTAATGGCCCTCGGTCATTATTTGCACATCTGGTGGCTCCATGGAATGGCCTTCCATCTGGTGGATGCAGTTTTGTTTCTCAACATACGTGTAAGTCTCTTATTTGACTTTATTTGTAAAAGTGCCACTCTACTGGTTGCTTAATAGGCACAGATCTAAATGTTGAGTTCTTTGTGTGATTCCCGTTTGATTTTCGCAGGCCTTGCTAAGTGCAATTTTGAAACGAATAAAAGGATACATCAAACTGAGAGTAGCTCTAGGTGCTCTTCATGCAGCTCTTCCTGATGCAACTTCAGAAGAGCTACGGGCATATGATGACGAATGTGCTATATGTAGGGTATGTTTCTGCTAGATAGTTATTGCGTCTTTACATGTTTCAGTAGCTCACTAGTCTTGGAACCATTACGAATGATAGGAGCCAATGGCTAAGGCTAAAAGACTTCACTGCAACCACCTTTTTCATCTTGGATGCCTGCGATCATGGTATGCTAGCTCTGTTATGTTGCCACCCTTGTGCTATTGCAATTCTGTGAGAAATCATGAGTTCATGATGATGTTTTGACGCTGGCAGGTTAGATCAAGGTTTAAATGAGGTTTACTCTTGTCCTACATGCCGTAAGCCTCTTTTTGTTGGTAGAGCTGAAAGTGAGGCGAATCCTAGCAGAGGAGAAGTATCAAGCGATGAACACTTAGCCCGTCAATTTGATAGACAAAACAATTCAGTGCATGCCCTAACCACTGGGATGTTTCCAACTGAGACGCCAAATTCAACTGAAAGTGATCCGTGGAGGTTGGGTTCATTCTTCCATATGTTATCTTCTTAATTGCATTAAACTAACAGTGTGTTCATAACAACAACATCCACTTCTTGTGATTTCGTATCCTCGAGCTAAAATATTATGCATTGTTTAATTTTATTTAATCTACTTGGTTCTTTTGGATAGCAAGTAATTGTTGGTTTTGTGAGGACCAAACTTGTGCCCCCGTTGATTTCTTTTTAAAGACTGGCTTTCTTGAACGGGATTAGCAGTTCTCACCTTTTTCTCATGCCATATAGGAATTCAGGACTGGATCAAAGCTGGCTGCAAACATGGTCAGATCAGGGTGTTGATGTTGCGGGTCCCTCTGCAGGCTCCAGATCCGTTGGGCTGGGGCAGGTTCAATTGATGATGAGGCATCTTGCATCTGTTGGGGAAGGTTATGGTCAGACTGCACTTGACGATGCTTCTTGGGGTCTCTGGCCAATGAATCCTTCGCAAGCATCGGCTTCATCTACATATGTTCCTCCTGGTGCTGGTGGAAGAACAGGTGGCCTGCATCTGAGAACTGTCTCCCGTGCAGCAAATAATATGGCGAGTATACTAGCTATGGCCGAGACAGTAAGGGAAGTCCTTCCACATGTGCCTGATGAAATAATTTTCCAGGTAAATATTTGTCTGCTTTGACAAGCAGACAAGCAAGCTACATGCTTGGTTGAATTGCTAGGGTATTTAGTTAGTTTTCTGCAAAAGAAAAGCATTTGTAGATATGAATTCTTGAAGCAGAATTTTCATTAAGAAATTGATGGGCTCAATTTTCCTGAATTTTATGGCCGTTTGTTGCTCGTGTTTGCACATGCGGGGTATTGAAGTGATGATTATTTCTATTTTCTTGTAGGACCTGCAAAGAACAAATTCTGTTTCTGTTACAGTGAACAATCTTCTCCAGATGTGATGATGGTTTGACTAAAAACGTAATGAACACTTCCATTTCGAGCTCAGGTTTAGCCAGCAGAAGATAAACGGATCAGGAAACATCCTTGTCTTTGAAGTTTTACTCACCACCACACATTTAGAGGCGTTGTCTGCTGTAAACAGGAGGCATTCTTGCAACAGACTATGCAAGAGGAAGAGACTCTAGAATAGATTTTGTTCATTGCTCTTGTGGGATAAATAAAGCTCTTCGAGCCCTTTCATAAAATATCTTGTTCAGTCTGATGTTGAAAGCTTCATTCTCTGGAGGTAGTAACCAGTCTATGTGAATGCACTTCTGAGGACTGATGCTACCTCCACTTGTATAAGAACGTGTAATTTTACAATAAAACAAAAAGCAGAATGTATTGTTACTGATCCAATAGATTTTCTCAATTCCTCAACTGTTTCCTTAAAGCTTGTTCCTGCTGTCTACCCTATACCGGTTTCTTTAGCTTAAATTTGCAGGTTTCATGGCTTCTTGGAACAGAGGAAAGACATTCTCAGGGAACATTCTTGGTCCAGATGTTGGGTTATTGGTTCTTGAAGCTCTTTACTTTGAACTAACATGTGTTATTTGTTTTAGAAACAAGCAGGATTTGAGCAATTCAAGAGGACTTTTTGAAGACAAGATGTCTCGGAGATTGTGTCAAAGCTCAAATAGTGGTGTGAACAGTCATCGTCAACCTCCAAACCATTCTCGAGGCAGACAAAACCATTAAGGTAATTAAACTAACGCCTTCAAAAAGTGCTTTAAGTTTTACATATAATAATGCAGTTCGAAACTAGCTTGCATTTTCTTAATAGAATATTTACCGTGGCGGTCGGTAAGTTTTGGGGATTGGTCTCAAATGAGATGTGTAAGAGACAAGAAGTAGTAAATCACTCGTTTTTCACCGAGGTTTAAATGTCCTTTTCCTTTTGTAGTTTCTTTCTCTCTTTTTGACTCATCTTTGGCTTTTCCCATGAGCTTTTCCAGCACATTCATCTGGATTGATTAAAAATACACTTGTTTATTCTGTGTTTATTCTGGGGTTTAATTCTTACTTTCAAATACTTATGTGTGAACTTACTCTTATTATATAATGTCTTCTACCTACTAAGTCCTTTAACGTTTCATAATCCTCATAATCGTTAAGCCTTGTGTGACTGTTTCTGTTCAAATGAGCTCAATCCATGTTGCTTCTTTCCTTCTCTTGTTTCTCCTCTTGCATCTTGCTGATTCTCGTCACCTCGACAATGTCCACATTACAGAGTCTCGGTTTTCGCTTGTCAAGGTTCTTGATCCACATTTCAATTCATCAACTTTTCATTTACTTTCATGTTCTTCGTATAAGCGGGTGTCTTTCACCTTCTCAAAACTAAGGCTTCTTTTTGTTTTTCTGTGGTTTAGGATCAAAACGTTGTCTCTGGTTCGACATCTAAAGAACCGGTTAAAGTTTCTCGGTTTGTGCCGGGTGCAGTGAAGCACCACCATCGTCGTTCACCGCTCTTATTTGCAGATTATCCGAAGCCGTCCACTCGGCCTCCACGCCATAACTGAAACCTCTCTCTTTAGTTTTTTTCATCTTTAGTGTTTTTGTATTTGAGAGAGTACATAAGTCTTAGCAATTTTCTTAATATGTTTCCAAATGTGGGATTTTTTTGAAGTATAGGTTCATGTTATCCTTTCTAGCTGACAAAATCTATCTATTTTGAGTAAGTTTTGCAATAGAGGCGCATCCATGGGCCATGGCTGCTTAAACTATCACAAATTTGCTTGCCGATATGGGCCCATTACAGGTTTAAAGCCCAATTTGAGCTCATTTACAATCTCTATCAGTTTTGCTTCCCCATGTTTGTCCACAAAATGAATGATCTAATACTTTTATGATCTACCATTGTGGTTTTGTTTGCAACGAAAATACAACCAATGAGAAGGCAAATACATGAATGTGTAACCAGAATCGTTTGAATAAGTTTCTAAACGTTTAAATCATAAATTATATTAAACAAAATCGGAATGACAAACAAAATTGACACAACTCTTGGTTCTTGATTCGGAGGGTCTTTATGTATATGTATTTTGTAGTTTTTTTTTTTGTAGAAAAGTTAGATCTCTTCGTTTACTTGGTCCAAAAATGTATCACCCAAAGATTTTAAACATATTAATCCCTATTAAGATTAAGGTGAACTTTCCATTCTCGTCATAAGAATGTGAGAATCTATACTAGTATTTTTGCAGTCACTTTGGTGACGGATGAGTACAAATGCTTCCGGGTTATTTGGATATCCGACCCGTTTCAAAAAATCCTTCACAAATACAATTGTTAGGTCGGGTTATATTTAACCCAACTCATACACCGGATATTCTATATTTAATAATTTAGATATTTAGAAGATTTGATTAAGATTTATAATCATGATTCTACTATCATCTTTGTTTGATTTGTTTTTAACTGTTTTGAATCATCATATAATACATAAAGTAAACGAAATTTAACTGCATATATTGTGATTCGAAATTTTAAAAACGGACATATATTATCCAATTGACGAAAATGTGTGTTCAACGTTCTACATCGATAAAAATATTTAGACATGATTCAGAATCATATCATAAATAAGAATATTAATAAAATAATGAGTTTTGGCCAGACGGGCTTGGCGGGACGGGTTTTTGAATCAACAATAATAAAAAGATTAAAATATCATTAATCCGCCGCTTCAATACGGATTAAATCTTTTTTTTTAATACCATAAATATTAGACATATTAGATCAGTCTCATTTAGAAAAGATTGTATAAAACCAAAAATAATCCCGTGGTATAATGTCTCGTGGTCTTAGAGGATGATATGATTTGTAAACTTTTATATATAATAAATAATCATTAAATTTTAAAATAAAGACAAATCACGGGACGGTTAAGAAATTACGGAACGGGTTATATTTCGGAAAGGATTTATATGGCGGACGAATTTGAATCAATATTTATATACCACTTTAACACAAGTTAAATCCTCAATTTATTAATAATTGTCTCGTGGACTCGTGGTATACCGTTACTTAATAACAATTGTAAACTATAATATAAATAAATATGTTATAAAGAGATACAATTTATAAAATATTTTTATACTAACTTTAAAATTAAATCATCTCGCGGTACACCGCGGGATAAAATCTAGTAGAGTAGTAATCCTTATGCATACTGATACATAAATATAATATTGAGTTTAACAAAAATGTGAATATAATACATGATTCTGTGACTTTTTGTACGGTTGTTTCTTATTCTACTCCAAATTCTCTCAACTATTATATTTACTCGTTCTAGTTAATTAACTTTTTGGTTCTTTTATAGGTTACACTAGCGAAAATGATTATCAACCCACAATTCCATGACTTCCATGAAACTAAATTACGAACAATAAATCGATCTCGGCGAATTCACAAAGTCTACTTGTATACATTTTTTGGAGACCGGTAAGAACAATCTCCCGTGAAGGTAGGGGGTTAGCCTCGGTGGTGGAAATGTGTGACGTCGTGCTTAATTAGGTAAGAACATGTGAGGCTGACATTTTTTGTTAGGTTCGATATCTCTTAGTCGACGAAGAGTGCCATGCACGCACATGTTTTTTTCTTCTTTTTCTCATTCTTCTATACTCTTCCTCCATACTTAATAACTTAATTTAGGTGTGTTCGATTCATCTATTAGCTTTGATTTTCGTAAATCTTTTTAATGAATTTGTCAAAAAAAAAAAAAAAGAACATGTATATTTCCATTGGATTTGATTGTTAACTTTTTACCGCAAGTGCACCATTTAAATGGTTGCCAATTGAAAGAACGAAACTAATTACATAAGAGGTAAAGATTCAAATATCATATTTAACTATATATCTCCCTATATTAGTGCTATTTTTCACCGCTAAGAAAATCTTATCGGTTTTTCTCATCAATAGACACTTTCGTAAAAACAAAAATCTAAATTATAACAAATTTTTATGATAATATTTTCTAGAATTTTTGGGTAGACTTGCAAATTATATTCGCACAAATTTGATGTATATTTTGTAGTTCTACGCTAATTTATGTATGAAATATGATCTTCAACAATCAATGTTAGTTTATTTTTGATATTAGAGTTTATATAGCACATATAGGCGTTTAGGACTAACCTAAACTTCGTGTACAATTCTGGCTTAGAACAAATATTATTATTGTTTCTACATAATCAGTGTTAAACTGTTAACTGATGTGTTACTAATGAGAAATTTAGACTGAGATTAAATTGTAATTATTTATGAATATTTTCCTATAAATTTGTAGCAAAATTTCATAAATTATTAACAATGGCTTTGTTCACTTGATGGGATTTATGCATTTAAATGGTAACATATTTTTTTTTTATAAATTTTGTCTAGCACAAAGTAAAAAAAAACACACATTCACCGGTTGACTTTTGTGCTCAAACCGCAACCCTTATTGGATATCACTTGCATCTTATATCATTTAGACCTTTGAATCCCAAGATCCTCCTTCTTGCAAAGCTACACACCACTCGTATTTGGAACACTATATAACATCACAAATTAAGCTCCAACTTCGATCACCAAGAACAACATGAATTGCAATAATCAATTAGTTCCAACAAACCCTTAAGATTCGGCAACTTTGAAACCTTGACTTCTCATCTAACAAGCCAGCCGCGATCTATAAAATATTGAAGGAGGCAGAATAAACGTTACAATGTAAGTAAGAATCTATAAATCACCACATCAATAATTCTTTTTTAAAGATCTTCGCAATAATTGTTGACATCGAAGCAGAAAAAATGACATATACTTTGACATCGAATTGATAAATCAGTAAACCTATTAAAAATAGAACGAAAATTAAATGATAGTAATGAATTCGTGTGATATATTGTTCTTAATTCGTGTGACGTAAGACGACTATAAGGTTTGATAAACTATTAAGATATTACTAGTAGTTTAATAGTGTAATTAACTTCTAAAAATATCATGAAACTAGCTAAACGAATACTCCATTCGTTTCATAAAGAGTATCGTTTTAAAGTTTTAATCTTGTTTCACAAAGAGTGTCGTTTTGTGTTTTCAATACAGTTTTAAAGACTAATTCTCTCTTTTATCTTCACTATTTAGTTTATTAATTAAAGAGAGGGTATTATTTAGTGTATTAATGAAAAATATAAATGAAATTTGTTTATTTTTCTTAATTTATGTAAAAAATGTTATAATGACATGAGGAGGTATAAGCAGAAGGAGTTGTTGAGGCCTTAAGAATGGTCAAAGGGAGGAGGAGCAGAAACAGCGGCGTCAAACAAGAAGATTCTGACACTCACCAAAAAAAAAAACAAGAAGATTCTGACTGGTAAATTTCAATTTCCAAAAGATCGTCTTCCAATATTTATACTCTACTACTATTAAACAATGTTTATACAATATTAGCATACTAATTATATGTTCATAAACAAGATTAAAATTAGTCGAGAATCCAACTGTGAAGTAGGTGGTCCTACAATCTTCCCTCTATTGGTACCGAACGAACCTTACATCTCCTCGAAAAGCCAAATCTCTTTTTTTTTTTTCTTAATAACAGTCTTTCATTTTCCACATCCATGGTTCCTCTATTTTGTCGTCTTCTTGTCAGAATCTTTGACCGTCTTCTTTGTAATATTGCTTAATTTACACTGCCTCTCGTCGAAACTAAGTTTGACCCGACTTTTCTTCTTATTCATTTATTTTGTTCGTTTGTTTAAAACACCATAATCAAATTTGGTTATGGTGTTTTAGTACGTCGTATTAAACTTTTACTTGCACAACTTAAACTAAGCACCACTACACATGTTTCCTGCTATAGAAATTCAACACATCGATCAAGAAAGTTAACATGTGAATGTGATAGTCAAGAAAAGTAAAAACATACTTGCTCTAGAGAAATAATTTAAACAAAAAGTGTTCGGCTACTTATAAATTTAAAACATAACTAAAAATACGAGGGAAAATTAAAATAAAAAATATATGATCTACTTAGGAAAAAGCTTACAGTGTTAGTTGAAACAGTAAAAATAGTAACTCGAATTTAACAATGTGAGTATGTGACCGCTAATAATTGTTGTGAGGAAGAAGTACAAAAGTAAAATCGTAAGAAGGAATAAAGTTTTTTAAAAAAAAAACCCATAAAAATAGCTATCCGCACAAGCGAACAACTTTGCGCCACGTAACCAAATCCTATGGTCAGAAATTCATATTACTCGATGATCCACGTGGAGCCCATGTCGTTTTTTTTGGAACTGAGTCGAAAGAAAATGACTTTTTATTTAAAAAAAAAAAACCGTCACCGACCTTCTCTCCACCAGCTGTGTCCGAGAGCGACCGCACCAAAACCAGCCATCTCACGATGGCGGGACCAAACCTATTCGACTTATCCACGTCAGACCTGACTCGACTAATCACGGCTTTGAAACCAGCTGCCACGTGTCTATCGCCGTAGCTTTCTAGATCCACATTTGGGCCCCCATTATGATCGGCGGTTCTTTTGGAACTGTTAATTAATAATAACCACACTTAAATTAAAAACAATTAGCCACACTAATTAATTTAATTACAACTAGTAATGTTAACCAACCACCACAAAGAAGCTCTTTTTAAAAAAATCACGGCGTTAATTCACGCGCTAAATATATTTCGTATGTCTCACGCGCTATTCTTATTGGTACGTGTAGTACACGTACACGTCACCTGTTTCCTCAAATTTTTCTGGCGAGTCAACAACCGTCGGGAGAGAAAAAAAAAAAAGTTACATTTTTTTTTGTCTATATTCTTTTGTTTTTTTTTTTTAGTTAGCTTCGCAAAATCTTATATTTATATTTTCTAATTTCTGATATCAGAAAATTTTGGAGTTTATTTTTATTTTGGGGATAGTTTCTCTGCGATTTTCTTGGGCACTTAAAAGACATTTTTATTCACAGTTCGTCTTTTGGCAAATCTCCTTTCCCATTTCCCATTTATTTTCTGTGTCCCTTATTTGGTTGCAGAGAAACCGCGAGAAACCAAAACTCAGAGAAGAAGAGGAAACAAAAAAAGTCTCTGTCTTTATAAAAAATCTTTCTTCTTCCCGTCGTTTCCGGTATCTGCATTTCTCTCAGGTAATCTTACCTTAAAGTTTCGTCTTTTCTTTGATTTTTTGCATAAAGTCTCCATTTTTACAATCTCTGTTCTTAGTTATGAGCTGGGATTTTTCAGTTTTGGTTAAAAGTTGAAGTTTTTTTTGGGATGTTTGTTGTATGATGAAATACTTGAACCAAACCAGTTAAAGAAAAAACGGATTTTGTTTTCTGGGTTTAGGAATTTGGTACTTTGTTTTTTTTTTTTTGGGTTGGATTTTATGTGAGTGACAATGATTTGTCAAGCTTTAGGCACAACACATTTGAAATGGTGGTGGTGGGTCAAGACAATGTTTCATTGTCTATTCTTGCAAGTGTGTTACTAAACTTTTAAAAATTTATGTTTTTTTTTCGACACCATACAAAATTTTCTCATGTGCCTGCCTTTGTGCTTATACATTTGTGGCAATTTGGTATTCAATATTGATGTCTCTTTTTACCTCTTATTTTTTCACTCTCCAAAATGTGTATGTTTTTGCAGAATACAAAATGTTTGATGCTTGAAATGTGGGGTTTGGATTTTTGGCTCTATTCTTTAGCTTTAGATGTTTGGTTGGTCAAAAATTGTGAAAGACAGTAGAGATTTTCTATATCAGTCAGGAATTTCTATTTGGAGAAAGAATCCTTAATTTTGTTCCTTTGATAGAGAGGTTCTATATTGGCCATAATGCGATCTCTCTGGCATTACACAAAGTAAAGTCATTTCATGAATAAAGTGGTTTACTTGATTACCCCTTTGGTACAACTGTCAGCAAAATAAAGACAAAGAAATGTTACAAACCTTTTGTTTGTTTCTCATTGGATAATAGCTTGAGGTCAATATGTAACTTTGGTATCCAATGTTTTCCTGATATTAGCTTCAGAGAATTATAGCGATCAAATTTAGAAATAAGTAAATTTCTTTGCTTTTGTCTTAACTGGTTCTGTTTCTTGCTTGGCATCTGCATTTCAGGGTCCAAGTTTCTCTGAGGAAGAGGATTTTTGTAAAGACTCCAGTAGAGAAGTGAAACCGTAGAGCTTCTTCTATTCAAGAATCCTCTGAGAAACTTTGATATATATATTTATAGTTTGCTAATAATATCTGGTGTTGTTATGGACATAAAATCTGGTCACTCGTCTCCTGTAATGACTGATTCTCCACCGATAAGCAACTCAAGATTAACCATTCGTCAGAATAGACTCCCTTACTCATCAGCAGCAGCCACGGCTATCTCACAGAACAGCAATCTCTTACTAACCGTTCCAAGAAAGAAAACTGGAATCCTTGATGATGTTAAGTCTAATGGTTGGCTTGATGCGATGAAATCTTCTTCTCCTCCTCCAACAATACTTAACAAAGATAACTTAACCAGTGATGCTGCGGATATGACTTATCGCGAATGGACGGTTTGTTCCTTACTGTCCTTATTTTTTCTGAACATTTGTGTGGTTTTTTTGATCTTGATAATCTTCTTTTTGTCTTGTAATCATGTTTTAGCAGCTCAAGTATCCATCAGCTCTTAGTTCTTTTGAGAAAATCATGAGTTTTGCAAAGGGTAAAAGAATAGCATTGTTTCTTGATTATGATGGGACACTTTCGCCTATAGTTGAGGAACCTGATTGCGCATACATGTCAAGTGCTGTAAGTTTTTAACTTTCCTCTACTAAATTCAATTGCTAAAATTTGTGATTCATCCTCCTAATGAATTATATGGTTTACGCCTTTTTACATGTTTAGATGCGTAGTGCAGTGCAAAACGTTGCCAAGTATTTCCCAACCGCGATCATTAGTGGAAGAAGCCGTGATAAGGTAAATGTTTACTTCTTTCGATTTCTTTATCAAGAACGTTTCTTGTGTGGTTTAATGTAATAATAATCCATTTTGCTTAATTTAGGTGTATGAGTTTGTTAGTTTAAGTGAACTTTATTACGCTGGAAGCCATGGAATGGACATCATGAGTCCTGCAGGAGAATCTCTAAACCACGAACATAGCCGTACTGTATCAGTTAACGAACAGGTTCATTTTCTTGCTTTTTGTTTGTTTTTGGCAATATCTGTTTGCTACATCAGATTCTTGGAATCTGATTTTTGCAAATTTCAGGGGAAAGATGTAAATCTATTCCAGCCTGCTAGCGAGTTTCTCCCGATGATCGATAAGGTATTTTGAAACACATCTTCTGCTGTATATAGCTAGCTTTAGTAACAGCATCATATATGATTGTTGAACTCTTGAAATTATCTTCTCAGGTGCTTTGTTCGCTTATAGAGAGTACAAAAGATATCAAAGGGGTAAAAGTAGAAGACAACAAGTTCTGCATCTCTGTGCATTACCGCAATGTAGAAGAAAAGGTTAGGATTTCTCAATTCAATAACCTTTTTTGGTTCCTTTCTAGACCAATACACATTCTTTATAAAATTCGTCTTTGTTACAGAACTGGGCATTGGTTGCACAGTGTGTTGATGATGTCATAAGAACATATCCAAAACTACGGCTAACACATGGCCGGAAGGTAAAAACATCTGAATTCTTTCTTACATATTTCAACAAAAAGAAGTGCAAAGTTTTGATTTTGTTCTCTTGGTTTGTATATGTTGCTTAAAAGGTTTTAGAGATCCGTCCTGTGATTGACTGGGACAAAGGGAAAGCTGTGACATTCCTACTTGAATCTCTCGGTAGTTAACAAAATCCTTCTCCTCTGCTTCTGTTCTGAATCTTGGTTTGTTTTGGCCATTGACTTTTAAAACATTCCTCAGGCCTAAACAACTGTGAGGATGTTCTTCCAATCTATGTTGGGGATGATCGAACAGACGAAGATGCATTTAAGGTTTGTTCTTCTTATAAACCCATTTAGCTAAAACATTTCATTAAGAAGTAGTTTTGACTTAAGGTGCAAGTAATGTCAGGTATTACGAGATGGACCAAACCACGGGTATGGTATATTAGTCTCTGCTGTGCCCAAAGACAGCAATGCCTTTTACTCGCTTTGTGACCCGTCTGAGGTAAACTAGTAAATCACTCTACTGAATACTTTGAGCTACGATTTTCGATCATATGAGTTTGATTTTTTCGTAATGTATCTATCAGGTGATGGAGTTTCTGAAATCATTGGTGACATGGAAGAGATCAATGGGTTAAGTAGAGAAGAAGAAGTAGAAGAAAGTGGTTAACGTTAATATATATTACAAATATGCAAGTTAATTAGAGGATTATTGTTACTTTTCGGCTTTATACAAATACCGTTGAGATTTAACTTAACGGTATCGGTGGAGAGATCACATGAAGGCTTAAAACATGCCGGAGATCCTTTTTCCGATCAATCTCTTTATTTTCTATAACTGTAAATTCTTCTTCTCTTGGATAACTGCCTCCATCTCCGGATTAATTCAAATCATTTTGGTTTAAATTCTTATGTGAAGTATAAGTTATTAATAGGACAGAATGCAACATAACGTTCACATTCTTCTCAGAGGAAAATATAAGCTGGAATATTTTGATTGTGTGAGATCAGTATTAGTCAGATATACAATGTTTATCGAGTTATACTTAGGGTGACTCGGATCAACATGTGATTAAGGATCCAAAACTAAAACATGTGCCAACCATAACCGACTTAAGTCACGTGGCTAATCCCAAGAATGAGCCAGTCCAACAAAGAATTGTGATTAGCAATAGCGTCTAGTCTTATTGCTTATTGCAATTTTTAGTCAAAAGGCATGACATTGTAATAGATGTTCCTCAGTTTGTGATGAAGGCATAAACGAGATGAATTAGTTCTTAGGATACAAGAATATAACGATACTAAATCCAAAGAAATGTCTATTGTACTTTATTTTGTTTGTTTTTTAATGTCTATTATTACCCTTAAAATGAAGTATATATATATATATGCTAGGGAACTAGGGTTTAGTACATCGTTTTGGCGAGCCTGGTATATTTGATGAGCCTGGTCTACTGGGTCGCCCTCTTCCATGTGCATGCGGTGAACAACTTCCATCTACCACAGCCTTGATCTCTTTGACGATCACCTTTTGATCCCAAACCCCTTCTCCTATTTCTTCCCAAAAGAAAGTAAACAACAAATTGAATATCTAGAGTAAAAAACATTTTTATATAATCTAGTTGAACCAATCCAAATCGAACAAAAATATGGAATCAAGACCAAAAGTTTATCAAAGTAAACAGCCAATAATGGGTCAGTGGGTCACCATGAAGCCAAAAATTGAACTACAACCGAACCGAAATCGAACTGAGCATATATATATAAAAACTTACGGGGAATTGGAGATTCATATTGTACTCGAGCCACTACTGTGTTTGATAATCCAGAGAACAACAGAAAACTCAAAGTTAGTAAGCAAACCACGACGTTATACATTATTTTGAAGTTTGAAATTTTTATTTTTTTTTGGGTAATTTTAAAAGGATGAGTTTTTGAAGGTGAATTCATGAATATATGGAGAGAAATGAACTCACCGTTGCGATGTTAATTTCAATGCCTTTTTATTTAGAAATAAATATAAGGTTACGCGGATAAGTAAGATGGACCTCTTGTTTTTAAAAAAAATTCTTTGTGGAAAATGCGTATTTGACTCTTGAAATGTATTAAGTCTTCTCTTAGATTAGTCCAACATAATTTAAGTTATTTTAAATTCTTTTGGAGAACAACGTATTTGACTACTTCCCAACCGCTATCATTAGTGGAAGAACCAGAGATAAGGTAATATGTTTTTACTAATTATTTTCTTCATCTAGAAGACTAGAACGTTTTCTTGTGTGGTCAAATGTAAAACAATCCATTTTTTTTCATTCAGGTCTATGAGTTTGTTAGATTGAGTGACATTTATTACGCTTAGCGTCTATTATATATGAATCTTGAGTATTTAGCCTAAAGCCAAATTCATTGAAAGCATTGCAACCGGTCGAATGGCTCAACACATCCCAACATTGTAGTTTTACTCTAACAAGTTGCCATGAATTTCCTCGAGTTACGTATCTTCAGAATCTATGTTTGGGATTAATATGAATCCTCTTTGCAAAGCAGAAGATGTGTCATACACATTTATGCCCAACTTGTCATATTTCGGAGTTCCTACTTGTTGATGCGGGTAACAAAATCGAAATTGTTGATCTCGTGGATGTCAAGTTAGGGTGTTATTACGAACCCTTGGTCACAAATCATTTCGGTGAGTTAACCCTCAGTTGAGAAAAAATTATTTATATACATACTACGACTAATATTGAGGTGCACGAATCGAATAATATTGTTTTTGTTTTGGCTAAGCCTACATAGATATAAGATGGGTGATATTCTACTGGTGACTGAATTTTATATAGTGCACCTCAGTTTAGATTTGTGCGTAGAGGAAATTTGACTCTAAGTATTCACAGCCCCGGCTCAATATATTTGAGAGCCTTAGGGCAAAAAATTTTTTTTTGGCTTATTACTATATACAAAGAGAAAATTTACTTAAATTTTAAAAATTTTGCAGAGTTTTTATAGTAAAAATTGTTATTTTAAAAATTTTGGGCCTTTTTATACATTTTCTTATAAATAATTAGGCCTCTTAAAATATAATTCTCATATTAATAATATTTTTAAAAAATATTTGGGCCTTTTTTATATGTAAATTTTTTTATAAAAAAAAAAAGTCCCGGGCCGTCGCACCTCCCTACCTATTTGAGCCGGGGCTGAGTATTCATTTGGAGATAACTACAGATGCAGACCTTTTAAACGCGGTGACACACGCAAAGATGGTTCTTGAATCATCAAATTTGATGTTGATGGAGGACTTCACAAGATATGCGGATATTTCTACTACTCCAGGTCACTACGTTCTTTATTGGGAACTCAAAGCCAAATACCGTGACGACATTGTTGAAATTGATAACAAGGTTTTGGTAGAATGCTGCTATGTGGTGGGAGAATCATTGAACAATTCTTATAGAGATATAAGGGTAAAGGTGGATCAATTGGAGCTTTAGAGATAAGATTGGTGCAACAAGGAACTTTTGATGCTCTCGTGGAGTTTTTCATCACTCAAGGTGCTTCAACTCAATACAAGACACCAATTTGCATCAAATCTTCCGAGGCTTTGGTGATTTTAGAAGAAAAGGTTCATGCTCGTTTCTTTACTGATAAGTCCCTTTCTTTGGACTTTTTGTCATAATCTGTATACTATGTATGCATTGATAAAAGCTTGTCGAGTTGTGGTAAACAACATGAAATGAGACCAAACGCATGCCCTTTAATTAATCTCATTTTTAAGTGTATCCTTTTTTTTTTTTTGATATAAGTGTATCTTTGTTGACACTTAAAATGCAAATGCGAATGAAATAAAAGCAAGGATTAAGGAAGAGTCTTGCGCAATATAAACGTGTCGACCAAGGAGAAAAATAGTAAATGATAAAAATGAAAAATTGAAAAAAGTTAACTTGATATTGTTGGCAAAACAAACGAGACTTTGAATTATGTTCATTATGTACGTATCATTGTATGTTAATGAGTTTAACAAAACGAACAAAACAAAATCTATAATACAATTTTGGCCCTATGATCGGTAGGTCCAAGTCCAACGGCAACGAAGTGAAATGCGAATGTTAGATAGATCAGAAAAATGGTTACCAAAAACAAAAGAACAACAAAATGGAATGAGCCAAGCTTGATTTTTTATCCATTTGTTATATTCCTAGTTTTAATAAAATATTAAAATAGATAAATTTTCAAATTTTTGTTACTGCAAATTATATATTGGGAAAATGTTAGTTCTTAAAATAGTTAAATCAAATTATTCTAGAATACACATTTATATTGACACCCATATATGAGTTGGGTACTTGTGTAGTTTCGTAGAATATGCAAATATTGATTACAAAAAATCTAATTAAGGGAATTATCTACAAACATTTATAACCAAATTAGGTCCCAAACAAAATCATACCACACACGTATCTACCAAAATGATCAAAAAATCAAATCTTTAGAGAAATGGAAAGCTTCCTCAAATAACAATTCACACATCGTTAATGGTAAGGTAATCAATAGAAATAGAAAGTAGAAAATTAAAATGAATTGAGAATCCTTGGTGTAATTGAGAGTCAGTATCTAATTCACATCCACTTATATATATAGACACATATTTTATAGCGCGTTTAGGGATTAGTATCAACAACACTAAATTAATAATAAATAAATAGAGAATATAAAATCCTCATTTTGTTTTTTCTTCAACCTCCTCTTTGTCAGAGAAGTTTCAAAAACCCACACACACACTTTACACACTCTTCATCTTCTTCTTCCTCTTCGTCTTCTTCTTCATCGTCTTCGATTTTTGCTCCGATAATGTCGTTTCTATAGCCGACGATCATCAACGAAGAAGCGTAAAAAATCCTCAAAATCACTGAGATTAAACAAATGGCGGCTACTGATTTTTTCTTCGCTTTCGTCTTCTCCTTCGCTCTTCTCTTCGGCTTCTCTTTCGCTGGTGATCCTTACGTATCTTACGATTTCAGTGTTTCGTACATCACAGCTTCTCCTCTCGGTGTTCCTCAACAGGTTTCGTTTCCCTTAAAACCCTATTTTTTCCTGTGAAATTGAGGTTTAGTCGCTGTAATCTATCGATTTTGTGTCACTGATGATTTCGCTAAAAACGTAGTTGTTTCTCTCTAGATCTAACATTACGGTTCGTCGGAGGTTTGAGCTTTATCTGATTGAATTTTGTTTCGTGTAGGTTATAGCAGTCAATGGGAAATTTCCAGGTCCTGTGATTAATGCTACTACAAACTACAATGTTGATGTTAACGTATTCAATCATTTGGATGAGCCTCTCTTACTTACTTGGTGATGATGATCATCTTTAACATTCTTATAATCACTTGTGGCTGCTTATAGGCTTGTTGTGATTCCTGACATTCTTTTTTGGTTTTGATAGGCCTGGTGTTCAGATGCGGCGTAACTCGTGGCAAGACGGTGTTCTTGGAACAAACTGTCCAATTCCACCGAAATGGAACTTCACTTATGATTTTCAGTTGAAAGATCAGATTGGAAGTTATTTCTACTCTCCTTCACTTAACTTCCAGAGAGCCTCTGGTGGTTTTGGTTCAATCATAATCAATAACCGAGACCTCGTTCCTATCCCGTTCACTAAGCCTGATGGTGAAATCATCTTTATTATTGGTGATTGGTATACTCAGAACCATACAGTAAGTGTATTTTGGGGTGTAGATGGTGTTTATTATTCACTTTTGGTTATGAGTGTCTATGTCTTTATATATGTGAAACTCTGTTTTCTTTCAGGCTTTAAGGAGGATACTTGACTCTGGTAAAGAACTTGGGATGCCGGATGGAGTGCTCATCAATGGGAAAGGTCCTTTCAAGTACAATAGCAGTGTTCCTGATGGAATTGAACATGAAACCGTTAATGTTGATCCAGGTAACACATTTTGAGAGTTGTATTGTAACTTTGCTTTCATTCTGTTCCCATTTGCATTTGGTTGTGGAGTTGTGTGCATTGGATCTCCAGTTTCAGCTATTTCTGCTGTCATTTCATTACAAATCTAAGTTGGCTTTGAGATTTATTCCCTCTTACTTCATTCGAGTTACTTTTTGCAGGGAAGACATACAGGATCCGCGTTCACAATGTTGGTATCTCGACAAGCTTGAACTTCAGGATTCAGAACCACAAATTGCTCTTGATTGAGACTGAGGGTCGCTACACCTCCCAAATAAACTTCACCGATTTCGATATTCATGTGGGACAGTCTTATTCTTTCTTGGTAACCATGGACCAAAACGCCACAAGTGATTACTACATTGTGGCGAGTGCTAGATTTGTTAATGAAACAGTGTGGCAAAGAGTCACAGGTGTTGGCATTCTCCATTATTCCAATTCCAAAGGACCTGCTTCTGGTCCTTTGCCAGTTCCAGCAACTGATGTTTCTCACCCTTGGTCCGCAATGAACCAACCAAGAGCCATAAAGTATGTCTAGAAAGAAAACTCTTCAAGCAAGTGGATGTTAAACTTTAACCTGTAGCCATGTAATTGTAATCCTGATTCTTTTCATGTGCAGGCAAAACACATCTGCAGGTGGAGCTCGTCCAAATCCGCAAGGATCATTTCACTACGGACAGATAAATATCACAAGCACATACATCTTGAGGAGTTTGCCTCCAACAGAAATCAATGGGAAAATTCGTGCTACGCTTAATGGGATTTCATTTGTCAATCCAAGCACCCCCATGAGGCTTGCAGATCACCATAAAGTGAAAGGAGATTATAAGCTAGATTTCCCAGACAGACCACTTGATGAAAGACATCAACGTATGGACAGCTCTATCATCAACGCATCATACAAGGGCTTTATACAAGTTATCTTCCAGAACAATGACACCAAAATCCAGAGCTTCCATATTGATGGATATTCATTTTACGTGGTTGCGTAAGTAAATCATGCAACTCTTACATTTATTACATTTTCGATCAGTTTCACTGCTCTAACATGGATTTTCAATATTTGGTATTCCAGAATGGACTTTGGTATATGGTCAGAAGACAGAAAAGGTTCATATAACAACTGGGATGCAATTGCACGAAGCACGATCGAGGTAATTTCTCATTTGCAATCTGTTTCTGTAAACCATTTGGAGTTATAATATTGGTCAGCAGGTTTACTCTCTTGGTTTTTTGTTCTTTTTTTAAATGTTTGCTTCAGGTTTATCCAGGGGCATGGACTGCTGTACTTGTTTCCCTCGATAATGTTGGAGTTTGGAATATTCGAGTTGAGAATCTTGACAGATGGTATCTTGGCCAAGAAACATACATGCGAATTGTAAACCCCGAGGAAAACGGAAGTACAGAAATGGATCCGCCTCAAAATGTTCTGTACTGTGGTGCTCTTCAGGCCATGCAAAAGTAAGGATCAGAAACTTTACTCTCTCCTTCTCTAATTTAACCTTTAGATTATGTAAAAAAACTAAGAAACTCTTCTTTGTTGATTTCCTGCAGGGAACAACATCACAGCTCTGCTGGAACATCAATACTAAATGGACAGTTGAAACTAATTTTCAGCATGATGATGTTTTTGCTCGCCTCGGTTTCAGCCTTTTGCTGAGTCTCTTGCATCATTTAGGAATCTATTCTGTTCTTGTTACTCTGATCTCCCATTTGTTAGGACTATAGCTGGAGAATATAAAAAGCAGTTAAGTTCGTTGTGTTTCTCTCATTTCATTGATTGTTAGATCTTCTATTCCTCATGGTTCTAACTTCTAAACAACGTTAGTACGTGTGGGTTTGTGTCTAAAGCTTTGTTCTTCATAGTTATGTCATTTGGAGTTTAAATCATGTTCCTTGTTCAAATCTTTGGCGACTACTGTAACTAAAGTCCTCGTTTGTGGGTCTTCTTCACTAATTTCTACTATTATCCTCGTATCTGGATATTAGATATGCAATGCTACTTTTGTCTGGGACTATTATTAGGATCACATTTTGGGGGGTGGAAATTTTGTTAAATAGGACATGATTTGTAACATTCGAATTTCCGTTACGATATCCTTTTTGAAGTGGTACTGAAATCTCGTTCTTCCATTTATAGCTAAAACTTCAGTTTCTTAATAGGCATAATGAGTTATATTCAAAAGTGTAAAATTTATATCATTGTAACTTAAACATGGAAAACCAAAGACGGTCTTTAGAGTCCGGAAGTGAAAGGTATGCCGGTGCTTGGGAGCCATGCGGTACCGGCGATAAATTTTCCAACAGTGAAAGCAGATGCATCTGAAGCTCTACCCAACACATGATACCCTTTCCAATGGACACGCTGCCTCGTGGATGAAGCTGGTCCGGTATTCTTATATTCTGCATAGAACAGAGTGTCCAGACCAAACACCGAACCTTCAATCCACGGAGACCACCCGACCGGACTCACAACATTATCCAAATACGTCTGAAGAACCACGGTTCGTGAGAACTTCATCCAAGGCCGGCCCATGTACGTCTTAACGGTACTTACCACTGGTTTTAGATCAGGAGCCGGTAGAATTCTTGAGTTATGGATAGAGATCCCTGTGTTCTGAAACGGATCAGCACGACCTTGTGCGGTAATTACATTGGCTTGACCTTTGAGTGGCCGGCGAGGGAGGATGATACAGTTTTGGAATACGGCGGCCGCATTACCAAATATGAAATCGACGGTTCCATAGATGTAACACTCGCGGTAAAACTGGCGTTGAGAATGGACCATAAGTGTGTCTTGGTATCCTTCAATTGAGCATTTGTAGAAGATTGAGAGGTCAGACGATGACCGAAGTGCCACGGCCTGGCCCTTGGCCGGACCCGCTGTGTTCCGAAACGTTATGCCTTTGGCTATGAAGTGAAGTCCCTCAATACCTGGATCACATGCAATTTAGCCAATTGTTTCTTAATGAGAGAAAAAATGAAATAATATTTCAAATGGTAACGCTTACACATTTTACGGGAAACAAAATAAACAACGGTTACGTTTTTATATCTTTTTTTATTTAAGTAGTGGTAATATATAATTGATTACGATCCCAATGTATGATTTAACTTGGACGTCTCCACCATGAATCTTATCGATAGGAAAACTCAAATCGTACGGAATATTCGAATTTTTTAATTAATGATATAAGCTTGTTAGATCCAATCTACTAACAAGAAGTTAATGAAAAAAAATGAAAAGAATTAAATAATTTACCGGCAGTAGCGGAATTGTAAGTGGTGTAACCTCCTTTGACACTTCGACCGCCGGTGATAATGGTGGATCTCATTCCATCTCCGACCAACATTATGTCATCATTATTTAGACGTACGTTTATGTTTTCTTGATATATCCCTCTTTTCACGTATATAACGAACCTCCCTGACGTCACCTTTCTACGTCCAGCTACGTCAATAGCCGCTTGTACCGTGTTGAAATGTCCTGATCCGTCCTTGGCCACCACAAGGTTGGCTCGGACCACACGCAGAAGTCTTCTATCTTTGTCAGAAACCCACGTCGGAAAACCCTTCTGATTAGCAGTGGTGTTGCCGTTGTTTCCGGCGGTCAAGAGGGCCTCGTTGACAGCTAAGCAGTTGCTGATGAGATGGGAGATTTTGGTGTTTGAAACGATGGGTGTGATGAAATCTGAGACGTTGAAATCGGATGAGCCAAGTCGGCAGGTCTCGGTGTTTGTAAGCGCTGTACTCAGCCACGTCTGCGCGTCGAAGTCAGTGCAACGTTTTGCAGCACCTGCTTTTGGAGACACGCCCTGCAGCGTCCGGTTTAACTGCATGATCGTGTCTCTGTAAAGGTCAATGCAATCTGTCAAAACGGCTTGTTTCTTGATATCTGTGTAGTTCCGGCCGGAATTAGTCAACTCCGTCCGGGCGGATATAGCTCGATCCATGGCTGCTTCCACCAGCATTACTCGGAATTCGGATATTTGTGTCGGCTGTCGAAATCCGTTGTGGTTCTTGAAGTAGCATTTGCATGGATCAGGATATGGAGTTTTGTCGCACCATCGGTCAATGTCGGTGGAATTGCCGTCGGCTACGGTGGTGAGAGGATGGACGCAGAGTACTAGTAGTAATAGTAAATGTAGAGATAGAAAAGAGATTTTTTGCATCATCATATTCATGTTGCTTCTTTTGTTAAGTTGATGTGGTTTTGGTGTGAGAAGGTGAATGTAACTCAAAGTACAATGTTAGAGACTAGAGACTAGTGGGAACATGACTGACTCCAATCTATATCTTAAATCTAAATTTATGTGGTGTGGTGGTATTAACATTAAAGCAATTCACAAGCAAACAAAATTTATATTGTGAGGTTATGAATGAGATCTACCTTTGCTAGCTCGAATGCTGCTGTTTTCTTATTGCGTGAACGATTCCTATCACCTTTTTTAGTATAAAGATTTTGTTTTAGGGAGACTTTCAGGAGGTATACTAACAAAAAGTTCGACTCTTTTTTTATTTTTTATTTTATTTTAGTACTATTGCACACAAATTTATAAAATAAAAAATTAATATTCGTGATGTATACTAGTAATAAAAACAACAAGAACTAGGTTTCAAAGTCATTACTTCACTATATAAGATATTTCATCTATGTAAAGTGCGTGGAGAGTTACCTAATATAAGTCAAAACAATTTTTTTATGTATTAAGTTCAAACTTTAGGATATCTTTTTTTTTTTTACAACATCATATCAAGTACATTTAATTTTCTCTCTGAATCTCGTAATCTTAAACCGTTTTTCCTTTGTAGATCATTTTTTGTTTTTGACAGCCTTTGTAGATCATTTATATATTGTGTGAGAAATATCACACATTAAAAGTAGGAAAAGATTAAATTAGAAATTCATAAAACTTAAAATGATAACAGAGTCTAATTTGTTGATCCAATTAGGATTTATCGGTTTAAGATGGATTGACAAAACTCATTTCGAGATAGCATGTTAGGTTCCACATTAGTACTTAAAAAGAATCTAAAATAGAATATACAAGTTTAAGATAGACCAATTCACTCATTGTCAACTGTTTTTTGTAAAAAAAAATCCAAAAACAATTATCGGAAAACTTGGCTTAAAAAGAAAAACTATTTTGTAAAATCAGTAAGCTAATAGAAACTAGTTCTTTAACAATTCTCCTTATCCTAGAAGAACGCCGTACGAGATCTTGAACACTGAAAAATGAAACTAAAAAAATCCGACAACAATTAAATATCGTCACTTGAAGGTATTAAATATGATTATTAACATCCTATTTAGTTGCTCAGACCATTTTTCTTCTCTCCTGCTGTGAATCCTTCACTTCACATGCTATTTATATCGTCAACCAATTACATAATTAACAATTACGTACATTCGAATCTACATTAATTAATGAAAAACCTGTTAACATAGTTTCCTTTGTTTAAACTATCGGTTGAGAATGTGTGATACCATTCACATCTTAACCGGAGTTAGAACAGGTTTGGGGGTTCAAATATGGCTTTTGGAAGCCACTGAGTGAAGAAGAAGGTTTTAGTAAGGAAGGGAAGAGTTGGAGGCTCTGATGGTTACAGAAGATTTGCCATTAGGTCAATTTAATTAGGTTTAAATTCCTTTGATCTTCTTTCATTTGTATGCAACATTCAGTTCGGATTTCGCTTGTGATTCTAAGCTCATGTGTTCTCTATGAGAGCTGCGATTTATTTAGTCTTTAACTTACAGTATAACTTATACCTACTAGTAAAATACGCTACAAATTCTTGTCATTGTCACACAAATGATTAAATATGTTTTTACCTATTGAAAACATAAATTTAGTGGCATGTTAGTCTTCTCTAATTTAATTGATTATGAACATTCAACATGTCGAGAAAGATGGCATGTTAGTCTTCTCCTCTAATTAATACTTACAAATAATATAAAAGTGACCCATGTGATCCCTTGAGTGTCGACATTTTAATTTGGATTCGTGAAAATTAAAAGATGCACTTGTTTGAATTGTGTTTTCAGCAAATAGAATTGAAATCCTTTGAGTGTCCATGCACACACTCGCAATCACTGTAAAACAAATAAAAAAAAAACGCACACACAACTTGAGATTTGGCTACGTATCTACGATCTTACGATGTGATCTTGCTTAATTAATTAGAATTATTTGATACGAAGACACTTTTTAGGTCGACACTAACCAATTTTCAACATATATATATATATATATATATATATATATATTCCACGAAATACATACGTCTCTAACTTAGACTCAAAGACTAGAAACCTTATTTTTTTCCTCTTGATTTATAAATACAACCTAGGAACCAGAGTCTTCCACCGCACGGGTTCTTGTTCCATCGAGCAGACTCTTGCTCACTAATAGACACCGAAACTCAACTCTTGTTTTTTTTTTCTCCTAATAGACAAGACACCTTCTTTTGTATTCATTTTCACATAAAGATTCATGTCTCTTTTACTTTTAGTAACGTAGTAAATTTTCTAATTGCATTAGGATAACATTTCATATTAACCGTATCTTTACTACCCCATCTTTCCAAGTTTCATGTAAATCTTCGATCCGGTTATGGAAGTGTAAATTACTACTTATGATTCGTATACACGTGCTAAAATTTGGTTCGGCAGGGATCAAAAGAGGCATTATTTCCAAATATTATCTTCCCAATCCTTTGCTCAAAAAAAAAAAAAAAAAAAAAAAAATCTTCCCAATCCAAATATCTTCATTGATCCTTTTTTTTTTCCTTCAAGCTTCTCTTATTGAAAATATTTCCCTCACTCTCTTTGACACATGCATAATACTCTTCTATAACTTTATGACAATTTATCTTAATTAGCCACGTTCACTTCAAACTATGCTTTAACCTTTAACAGTTCATTTTCCAACCGTTTCGAGTCTTTTCTACACGCCTCTCCACTTTCAGTCAAATGAGAGTGAAATAGGAAATGATTTGTAATAATGAATTATATGTTATGAAATTTGACATCGTTGTAGTTAAAGCATGAAAAACCAAAGACGGCCTCTAGAGTTCTAAAGTGAAGGGTATGCCAGTGCTTGGGAGCCACGCAGTACCAGCTATGAATTTTCCAACAGTGAAAGCAGATACATCAGAGGCTTTACTCAAGACATGAAACCCTTTCCAACGGACTCGCCACCTCGTGGATGAAGCCGGTCCGATATTCTTATATTTTGCATAGAACAGCGTGTTGAGACCATATGTCGAACCTTTAGTCCACGAAGACCACCCGACCGCACTCACAACACTATCTATATACGTCTTAAGAACCACAGTGCGCGAGTACTTCATCCAAGGTCGGCCCATATACGTTTTAACGCTACGGACCACCGGTTTTAGATCAGGAGCCGGTATGATTATTGAGTTATGGATAGAGATCCCTTTGTTTTGAATTAGATCAGTACGACCTTGTGCGATTATCACATTGGCTTGACCTTTGAGTGGCCGACGAGGGAGGATAAGACAGTTTTGGAAAACGACGGCTGCGTTTCCGAAGATAAAATCGACACTTCCGTAAATGTAGCATTCACGGTAAAACTGGCGTTGCGAATGGACCATCAGTGTGTCTTGGTATCCTTCGATTGAGCATCTATAGAAGACTGAGAGGTCCGAGGATGACCGTAGTGCCACGGCATGTCCCTTGGCCGGACCAGCCGTTCCGGAACGCTATACCTTAAGCTATGAAGTGAAGTCCCTCAACTGGGGCATAGATTCTCATGCTAAACGTCCCTTATATGTGACACATTGAACATATTCTTTATCTCGTTCAAGAACAAGAGCAAAACCAGTATTGTTCACTGAGAAAAAAATATTAGTAACAGTCAAATTTGTTGTGTGCAAAGAAAGTGAATCGGTGGTAAGAATTGTTGATGTAATTATTTTGGTGTTATGTACTAGTCGTCGAAGTAGTACAAGAAGTCATTCAGGAAGCTGAGATGCATAATTGATGATGAGGAGCTCGAGTACTTGGATGTAGGAGCGTCTATTAAGTCAGAAAAAAAAAAATTTATCTTTGTTTGAAGACAAAAGAATTATGTATGCAAAGAGGGAAATTTGCTTGAAGAGAAAAGAAAATTGGTTAAAAGGAAAAAAAAAATTTCCTTATGGAATTTAGAAATATGTCTTATGTGTGATTGGAGGAACTTGAGGCACAAGTTTCTGTTTTTTATATAAGGGAGACGTGACCTTATGAGAATGTGGATTTGAAGAGAATAAAAATCCAAAAGAGATTCAATGTGAGAGATATTGTGTGTGATCTTGTACGACGTAGTTTCGTGGTTTGGTGCTTGTGTGATCAAGCTTATTTGGGGTGTTGGTATTGACGTACGTGTTGGAGTGTTTTGGTGATCGTTTGGTTCGTTGGTGTGGTGGTTGTTCTAGAGACTTGGAGAATTGAAGTCTAGGCTCAGAGGGAGTTTAGCTCAAGGTTAGGTTATCGTAATTAAATCGAAGCACAGGGGAGTTTAGTTAGGATAGAGATTTATCCTTAAGATTTCATGTTAATAGAATGAAGCGGTGAATCAAGAGGGTTGTGCTTGGTTTACGTGTTTGCGAATTGGTTGTATTTGCTTTCTTGTTCTAGTGAAATCAAAATCTGGACGTGGTCTCGGAGAGTAAGAAAAACCGAACCTCGTTAACAAATTTCTTGTCTCGTTTACTTTATGCACTTTATTGTTACCTCACTCGCACTTATATGATCATTCAGGAGATCATTCACTACAAGAAAACAGACCGTTTGCGACTCCCATTTTAGTCGCAAAACAGTCGCAAATACTCTATTTACGACAGTTTTGCGACTAATTTAAATGGTCGCTAAAAATTGGTCGCAAAATAAATCAGTCGCAAATTAGTCACTTATTTGCGACTAGTTTCTGACCAACATAAATAGTCGTAAATAAGCGACTCATCTGTGACTAGTATTGGAAGTTGCAGATACCCGACTAAAACGCAACGAGGCTAACTACGAGACCGATTTGTGACGATAATTACCAGTCTTATCTTGCAACGGTTTTGGGACTAACATTAGAGTCCGAGTTATGCGACAGATTAGAGACTAAGATTTCGTAGGTGAAAAAATTAAGTAGTCCCACTTTAGTCGCTATCTACGTTTCTTTAAGTTACAATTTGGTCGCAAGAGAGTCTTTCTTATTTGCGACCTTTGTAAGACACTGTTTTATAGTCTCGTATTAGCAACCATATTGTCACAAGTTTTATAGTTTGTGAAACTTAGTTTAGTCACATAATCGTCACAGCTTTGTAGATGGTCGGTCACAAAGTGGTCACATATGTGGAATAGTTTTGGTCACAAAATGGTCATATGTTTCTTATTGGTCTGGTCACAAATTAGTGATATGTTAACAGTCATAAACCTGATTAATTTCCGAATTGAAAAGCCATTAATCAAAGAAAAATATCCATAAAACACAGTAATCAAGTAAACATTCCAGAAATTATCATCCTACATAAGTTATCATCCTAGATTCCTAGTCATACACAAAAGGATCATCATCCTACATACCAACAAATAATTCAAGTTCATAAGTTAGAAGAAGTAGACAAAGTAGGTGAAGTGGAGGATGCTACTCTCTTGGCCAATCCTGTCTCTTCTGTGGTGCCTGCGGTTGGGATGGCTGGTTGGGTGGTTGTAGCTGTTGTGGTTGGTAAAATGCTTGTAGGTGTGGTGGTTGCTTGGTTGGGTTGTTCAGGTGCTGTAGAAGCAGATGACAAGAAAGCTGCCAACTCAGGATCTTTCTCCTTCATGAATTCAAGAAGTTTCTCCAAGCTGGAGATCCGAGATTGAGATTGGCGGTGCTCCTCATCACGTCTTGCATTTTCAGCATCGTGTTCAGATATCTTGCGCCGCAGCTGTTCTTGAAGCTCCACAGTGGTTGATGTAGAAGAGCTCGCATAACTCTCCTTCCTCTTTCCTTTGTTCAACGTCTCCACAAGTGATCCAATACCATAAGGAGTGCCTTTGTCATCTTTATGAGTACACTAAAACAAAAGACAAAGATTCAGTGAACAAGAACAGGGATGTCAAAAAACGAAATCCAGAAACAATTTAAAGGCATATACACTGATTATCCACTTTAAAGGCATATACAATTTTAATCACATAATCAACATCAAACCAACATTATATGCATCATTGTAATTTGTGGACATAATTAAAAATAGGTCACAGTTAATCGATTATCATTCTGATTAAGTAACCATAATGCACATATAATAATCAGACTCAGTCTTAAAAAAAACAGAGAAAGGAATGCATAATTACTCAAATCATCAGAACAAGACAATCAGATACTAAGCAAAATAAAAACAGAAATCAATTACCTTAAGAAAGATCTCATTCTTTTCATCAATGCTGAGCATACGGTCAGTGGAATGTTCAGAGGAATTAGCAGAATTCTGAGGACCCTCCTCGTCCAATTCAGACATCCTGTCTTCAATGCCCTTCGCATACGCCTCAGCAACTTCTTTAGCTTTTTGATCCACAAATGATCCATCAGCCCTTGTATGTGTTTGCATAAACACTTCGCCAAGTGATACAGGACGCTTGAGCTTTTCCTCCTACAGTTAAACTCAAACAGATTTAAATCATGGAAGCAATATTAGAAAATCAAAGAAATGATTTGTTTGGATGGAAAGAGAATTCTTACCATTTATTGATGAACTTGCACAAAAGATTTCTGACCGGCTAAGTGTTTGTGCACTCCAAGACCTCCACGATCAGAGTTTCTGCACTGTGAAGCATTCTCACTCCTCTCAATAGCATCCTCAGTGTTCCAATACACCCACATCTCAGCCCAAAGTGTATCACGGATCCACGGTGGTTGTACACCACTCTGCTTTGCTTGACTGACAATCCCTTTCAACCGTTTCTTGGCTATCACCAAGAATCCTTCTCTAACAAGCTCAGTAATCCCGACATCCCAATTATACTTCCGCTACACAACAAGTAGTTAAGTTAGCAAAGTTACTAAGTCATATATAGTAAACAATAACAGAATAAAAAGTATATATGACATTACCGCAAAACTTCTGAAGTATCTCTCTCGAATGGGTATTGGAGTAACCTTCCAGCTGAAGTAAGGCCCATCAAACTTCCTCCGAAAGATTCCAGCAATCACTCTAGACAGCTGTCCTTTGTGCCGATTAAACCTGTAATGAAAGACAGAGTATTAAGTCTATATAAAGTACCTTTCATGTTAGTTAAGCACTAAGACATTGCAAAAATACTCCTAATTATATTCATTTGTTGAAATCACCGACTTTAGATGATGCAAAACAACTAAGAGAGAGTCAGCGAGAATGAAATGTGTTTGATTATATGGAGAATCCACTAAAATAAGTTGTATTTAGTGAAGAAAGTCTGAAAGATTGAATATAAACCATAGAAAGTCTGAAAGCTTGAAGAATCAGACTCAGTTTGGATCAACTAAAATAATTCTCCAAACTTCTACTAAAGGACATGACTAGATGACTTCACAGTGTTTAAAAAATAGAGATAAACTGTACACAGATGCTCCAATACACCAATATACCAATACACATGCTCAATATCAATCACAAACACAAGTAACTCCAATACAGATGCTAATTATCAATCACAAAATCATCACAATATGGTCAATGACAAAAGTATATAAGGAGAGAGATTACCAGAGAGTCTCAACTTCTGGTATCCGGTTCGGAGACAGAAGTGGAAGATGTTCTCGGCCTGGAAGGGCTAGCAAACGATCCAACAGTTCTTGGTAGTCGACATTTGGATCTTCATTCTGTTCCTCAGGGTTATCTTCATCTACATCTTCCTCAAACTCGTCTTCACTATTATCGTTTAGCTCCATTGGTAAGTTCTGTTGCTCCGGTGGATCCTGACGAGGAGGCTGTTGTTGAGGACGAGGCTGTTGTTGAGGAGGAGGAGGCTGTCGTTGAGGAGGAGGAGGCTGTTGTTGAGGAGGAGGAGGCTGTTGTTGAGGAGGCTGTTGTTGAGGAGGAGGTTGTTGTTGACGAGAAGAAGAAGGCTTTTGATGACGGCCTTGAGGTTTTTGTTTCCGACGAGCTGCAGGTGGTTGTTGAGAGCCAGCAGGCGGTTGTTGAGAGCCAGCAGGCGGTGTTTGTTGAGAGCCAGCAGGCGTTGTTTGGAGAGAAGGAGTCGGGTTTTGGGTAGATGGCGGATACTGTGAAGGACGACAACTCTGAGATTGGGTTACTGACTGTGTCGCCGAATTAGGGTTCGACGAGTGAGAGGAGGCTCGGACTGGACTCGCAGGTAGAAGTGGATTTTGACCATGGAAGACTCTTGGACCACGGCTGGTCGATTTGCCTCCGCGACCTCTGGAAGCCTTGCCCTTACCAGGAGCCATTAGAGAATCGAAAGTGTTATAGTCGAGAGAGGGATTCGAAAGAGAGAATTTGAAGAAAGGAAGGATTGAAAGAGAAGCAGAGAGGTGAAATGAAAACCCTAGAAAAGTGTTGAAGAATCGATTGGAGTAGATAGAGAAGAGGAGGAAGAATCGATTCGTAGAATTAAACCCTAGAACTGCGAAGAAGAATCGATTCGAAGAGATTGAGAAGAGGAGAGAGGCGAGAGCTTTTTCGGCAAAAACCTAGATCTAGGATGAGAAAATGAAATGTCTAGGTCGTGTTTGTTTACTAATTAACGATAAGAGTCCCACTTTGGTCGCAAAAGAGTAGGTCCTTAAAATATTTGGTGGGAATCTTAAGCGCCCAAAGACTTAGTGAAATTTTGATAAAATTTTACTAAAATTTGGAAACGTTGCAAGACAGTGGCAAAATAAGTCGGCAAATAGTCACAAAGATTGTCCTAAAATAGTCGCAACATTTGCACGAGTCGCGTTAAAGTTACAAAATAGTCACAATGTGTGACTAAATTGTGACATACTAGAACACGTCACAACATAAAATTTAGATATCTATGGATTTTGTTTCATTCTATTGATTGTAATCAAAGATAAACACTCATTTTAGTAGCATAAAGTACATATATAAGTCTTAGGTAGGTAAAAAATTGCTTCCACAACTTATTTCATAATTTGTTATAAATTCCCTATCATTCTCTTAAAAGAACATGTAACACTTCATATGGATTAGGTATTTTTGCATGTTTGGTTTTTAATCATTGAAATTCAAGAGGTTAGTTAAGTATTTATAACTAAATTCGATCATATAACACTAGTAACGTATAATGGAACATATAAACAAACCCCAAATTAGAAATTTGGATTGTTCAATATCGAGAGTTGGTAATATGTAGCAAAGTAGTCGCTAGGTTTCAGGTGTTAGACGGAAAATGGTGGCAGAAGTATGACCTTCTTGCGACTGTTTTGAAAAATGGTGATATATTCTCATTTTTAGTCGCTAAGTCTCAGGTGTTAGATGCAAAAGGGTGGCAAACGTGTGACGTTTTTGTGACCGTTTGGTAGATGTGATCGTTTATCTTGTTTAGTCGAAGAATGGTGGCAAAAGTGCGACTGTTTTGTGACTGTTAGTAAAATGATGGAAAAAAAAAGCTCTACTTGACTCGAACCGAGAACCTGCTTTCAAGTATGGCAAGTTTGTAACCAAATTGGCTGTTTAATTAATCGTTAAATGTTTACCAAAACTAGTAAATAAACATATCAAATCATCAAGCCATTTAATTAAAATATATTACAAAACACACATTAAAATTTAGTCAATTATTTTACACACATTAAAATTTAGTCAATTATTTTACAAATGACTTATATTTATAATTATTCTTCATCTTCACCTTCTTCTTCATCTTCATCTTCGGATGTTGATGAATTACAATGAAATTCGTCTTCTCCTTCAGCATCTTCAATATCAAAATCGATAGGTTCATCTTGATGATTTCCGTCAACTAAGCTCTCAACTATAACTTCTTCAATCATGCTCGGAGGTGCATCATCAACAGATTGTTGCAGTATAACCTTATCATTTTCAGTAAACTTCCCTTGAACAACATTCCTTGGATTAACTTTGCAAATTGAAAGCCACGTTTTTCGAGGTCGTTTTGTGTTCGGGTATGACAGATAACACACTTGATCAGCTTGAGACCCTGTACAAAGCCAAAAATTTGAAATAAAATAAGATCGTCTCTAGCAAATACTTGAAAATAGGATGAAAAATTACCTAAAATAAATGGTTCGTAATTTTGGTATCTCTTTGATTGTAGCACGTCTACAACGCCTCCATCTGAAATACGAATTCCTTTGCCAAGCTTTGGGTCAAACCATTCACAGTAGAAAAGTGTGATCTTTAAGTTAACCAGTCCTGGATACTCGAGCTCGATTATCTTTTCCACAGTCCCAAAAAAATCTTCTTCGTGAGATGCTTCAGAATAATTTTGTCCTCGAACACATACTCCATAATTCATTGTCTTTCTTGTGCGCCCATGATTCCGCGTGTGAAACATATATCCTCTAGTAAAATACATGGGCCATGACTTGACTTTGTTTTCAGGACCTTCCACTAGTTCATGAACCCATGGAGGAAAATTTTGATGACTTCTCGTTGCTTCCACCTAAAATGAAAATTATATAGATTATAGTAAAGATATATCCAATCCATGAGTCGATTTAAAGTGAGATCGTTAGTGTATACGACGTACGTATTGGCGAATCCATAAATGAAAATCTTCGTCTCTTTTAGAGGTGACCTCATCATCAGAGAGTTCTGGATATTCATCCCGAATTTGCGCGTCCAACATACTGCTTTTGGATGTGTAAAAAGATATTCTCATTAGTCGATTAATATAGAGAACACTCTTAAAACTTATATTATTACTTGGTAAAAATGTACGTATACCTTTCAAACGGTCGAAAATAGTCACAATTACGCAAAACATATGCATGTGCGCATGTATAATCTTGCTCAGTTAACCAGAACTCACTACTTTTGCCACTTGGACGACCGACTTGTGTGAATATGTCTGGTACCGGGACAGGATATACAGGAACTTCACTTTCATCATACCGACTTGTCCTGCGAACATAAGTATATATATTAATTCATAAAAATATTTGCTTTTATTAAAATAATGGTATTCTCATTATAATATAGTATGAAATACCTTCTTCTAATAGCTGTAGAAATGTGCGATGCAAAATAGTGTTTCGAGAAGTATGATATCTCATCATTCATGTACGATTGAACGATTGAACCCGCTGGATATCTTTTGTTCTTCGCCTTGCCTTTCAAACGTTTAAAAAACCTTTCGAAAGGATACATCCATCTATATTGAACTGGACCGCCAAGCTCTGCTTCGTATGGTAGGTGTACAGGTAGGTGCTCCATCACATCAAAGAAAGAAGGTGGGAATATTTTTTCCAAGTTGCACAAAATCATGACAATATTCTCCTTCAAAAGTTGGATGCGACTTAGCTCCAATGATCGAGTACTTAAATCACGGAAAAATGCTCCAATGCCTACAATACAAATAAAATAAAATTAATAGTCATATTATTTTATATATAGAGCAAACATATATTTATAAATTAAATATATTTACCTGATAATGCAAGATGTACGTTTCGCGGCAAGAGTTCTACAAACACAAACAGAAGCAATCGTTCCATAAATACATGGCAGTCGTGACTTTTCATTCCCGAAAACTTGCCTGCATTGATATCTGCACAACTAGCTAAATCTGCTACATAGCCATCTGGAAATCTGACCTCTGATTTGACCCATTCAAGGAGACTTTTTTTTGCTTTCGCACTCAATCTCCAAATAGGAAATGGAGCTCTCCCTCGATCATCAACATGCAATTCAGGCCGATCACAAAATCTGGAAACATCTATTCTTGAATTCACAGTGTCTTTTGATTTGTCTTTCACATTCATCACAGTGTACATGACGTTATCGAGAATATTTTTCTCAATATGCATCACATCAAGATTGTGTCGTAGATTTAGATCGGTCCAGTAAGGTAGCTCCCACAGTATGCTTTCTTTGTGCCAGTTATACCAATCTCCATACCCATCCACTTTATTTTCATGCCCATTTCCTCTGCAGTCAGATGTCTTAGGCGGCTCGGCAGTCTTTATACGCTCATATAAAACTTGTTCACCAGTCAACGATTGAGGTGGATACTCGTTCACTGCATTTTTACCCTTCACAAAGTGCTTTTTGTCCTTCCGTAAAGGATGGTTAAGAGGAAGAAATCTTCTGTGGCAATCAAACCAACATGTCTTCCGACCACCTGGCAACCAAAATGATTTTGTATCCTCCATACAAATTGGGCACGATATTCTTCCATGTGTAGTCCATCCCGATAATATGCCATATGCTGGGAAATCGCTAATAGTCCACAAAAGGACGGCTTTAAGTATGAAATTTTGATCACATGACACATCGTATGCCTCAACTCCGTTATGCCATAACTCTTTCAACTCCTCGATCAGTGGTTGGAGGAAAACATCAAGACTGGCTCGTGGATGATTTGGTCCCGAATTCAAAATTGTAAGAAACAAATACTCACTGTTCATGCACATATCAGGAGGCAAGTTGTATGGAGTCAAGATCACGGGCCACAACGAATGATTTTTGGACATGCCAAAAGGATTGAAACCGTCAGTACATAATCCAAGATAAACATTTCGCGGTTCTTCTGCAAATGAGGGATGGAATTGCTGGAAATTCTTCCACTCAGCCGCATCTGATGGATGACACATTAATCCCGCTTCCGATTCATGCTCAGCATGCCATCTCATCGAAGCTGCAGTCTTTTGAGATTGATACATTCTCTTCAATCTGTCCCCAATCGGTAAATACCACATCTTACTAAATGGTATTCTTGTTCTTCCTTCACTCTCCTTGTATCTTGGTTTTCCGCAGAACTTGCAATTCCCCAACTTCTCATCATCTTTCCAAAACAACATACAATTATCTATACATACATCATATGTATAGTACGGCAATCCTAGCTTTCGCATCAAAGTCTCTGTCTCGTAGTAGGAACCGGTCGCTTGATTACCTTCTGGTAAATATTCTGTAAACAATTCTGCCCATCCGTCCATGCAAGTTTCTGACAAATTGTAGTCCACCTTATTGTTCATGAACCGAGCTGCCAACGATAATTGCGATTGACCTTCCCGACATCCATCGTAAAGTGGAGTGTTTGCGGCAGCTAGCATGTCATAAAATCGTTTTGCTTCTTGGGTGGGTTCTTCATGAACATGATCGTTTCCACTTTGATCATGTTCATTATATTCGTTATATGGTACAGAACCATGAAATGCATCATTAACCATCCCAGCATATACATTCTCCTCATCATTAGCCATCCCATCATATACATTCTCCCCATCAAATCCTATTGGTTCATGCGTACCACTAGTATAATTGGTATTATCAGCATATTCATGATGACTACTAGTTCCCTCCCCAACAACATTATAATCTTCACCATGTTCATACCATACATAATAATTCGCCATAAACCCCCTACTAAGCAAATGACTCGAAATTGTGGCAGCTTTCATGCGTTTAGAATTTTGACATACTACACAAGGACAATAAAACCGACCTTTTCTGTCTTCAACGTGAGAGCTCGCAAAATCGATGAACTGTTCCACACCAGCCAAATACTCTCCCGAAACATGACTAGTGTATGGATCGATTCGGTTGTACATCCATTCGCGTGATGGATTATTCCACATCGTTTTTTTCTTTCTTTTATTTCTCTCTTTTTTTTTTCTTTTTTTTTCTCTCTTTTTTTTTTCTTTTTTTTTCTCTCCTTCGTTTTTTCTTTCTTTCTCCTTACGTTTTTTCTCTTAATTTGAAGTTGGATGGAATGAGAAATAAAATGACGAAGGCCTTGTATATATAGTGAAGATTTTGTGACTCTTTTGTGACTGATGTTGAGGAGTCACAAAGTTTGGTACACCTAACTCTATCGCATTTTTCACATTGTGCCAACTTTTGTAACTCTTTTGCGACCGATTTCAAATAATTCGCAAAATTCAGTACACCTAACTTTTTCGTATTTTTCACGTTTTTTTACCTACATTTTGTGACTAATTTACTACTAAACCGTGATCGAAATATGTAGTTGCAAAACGTCGCTAAATTGGGACTTCTGTGCGACTGATTTTTCTGACTACATATTAGGTCGCTAAGTGGTCTCATAGTGCGACGTTTTTGCGACCAAATAAATAGAATGGCAAAACAGTCGGATATGAGTCGCTAAATTGAGACTGTTTTCCGACTATGTGTTTCTGTCGCTAATTAGCGACTATATTACATCTACTTGAATTGTAGTCGTTTAAGAGTCGCATATCAATTACAAAATAGTCGCTCTTTTTTGCGACCAAATAAATAGTCACAACAAGGAGTCCCAAATTGCAGGTTTTCTTGTAGTGATTCTTGAGATCGTTCAGGAAGTAAAACAGAGCTAAGAATCATGCGTTATGGATTTATACAACTTAGGAATACTTGGTCTAGGAGAGAATCGTTACAGAGATGGTGCAATGGGGTTTCATCCTTGGTTTCGATGGAGGCGACCCTTGAATTAGTTTTTGACCATGATGTGACTCAAGTAAGGGGAGATTGGTGTTGGTAGGTTGTTGTGTTACTAGTGATGAAGTCATTGAAGCTAGAGTTGTTGAGTTTACATACATAGTCAAAAAGGGGAAGAATGTTGATGCACTTATTTTGGTGTTTTGTACTAGTCGTCGAAGTAGTACTAGAAGTCATTTAGGAAACTAAGAAGCATAATTGATGATGAAGAGCTCGAGTACTTGGATGTAGGAGCGTCTGTTAAGTCAGAAAAAGGAAATTATCTTTGTTTGAAGACAAAAGAATTATGTATGCAAAGGGGGAAATTTGCTTGAAGTGAAAAAAAAATTGGTAAAAAGGAAAAATCCTTTTCTTTATGGAATTTGGAAATATGTCTTATTTGTGATTGGAGGAACTTGAGGCGCAAGTTTCTGTTTGTTATATAAGGAAGACGTGACCTTATGAGAATGTGAATTTGAAGAGAATAAAAATCCCAAAAGAAATTCAATGTGAGAGATATTGTGTGTGATCGTGTGCGACGTAGTTTCGCGGTTTGGTGCTTGTGTTATCAAGCTTATTTGGGGTGTTGGTGTTGACGTACGTGTTGGAGTGTTTTGATGATAGTGTGTTCATTGGTGTGATGATTCGTGTGTGGTGGTTTGGAGAATTGAAACTTGAAATACAAGACCCTAGTTAGTTTAGTGTCAACTTTTTAAATGCCATATAATTAATACAAATAACTTTCTTTCTTTTTTGCTTTATCCCACACAAACGGCTTTTTAGTCTATATATATAACCTATATCACATATAGTCTATAATATTATGGTGCTATAAATTCTTGTTATTCAGGGCCGGTCCTAAGGTAAATGGGGCCAGAAACAAAACAGAAAATGGGGGCCCCTATTTGGCATCTTAAAACCATGACTGAGAGTAGAAGAGGATTAAAGGAAGAAGAGAATCGATGAATAGAGAGAAAAGAGGAGGAAGAAAGCCGAAAAGTCGTGGGATTTGTGGGGAGAATTTGTTTTTTTTTGTTAATTCTATTTAAGTTTTTCTTTTATAAATTTTCCTTTTATTCAATTAAATTATATTTTGTTAAATATCACTTTTCCATATCATCATCATTTATTTTACTTTATCAGTTTTATGCTTGTTGTTTCTTCTATATACGTACAATCTTATTACTATATATATATAACCTATACAAAGAAAAAACTTTTCGGGGTCCCTTAGAAATGGGGGCCCAAGTCCATTGTTTCTTCTTGCTCTGCTGAGTTACGGCCCTGTTGTTATTTGTCAAATATAATTTAGTAATTTCAGAATATAATTTATATACTATATTCATTTTGAATAATTATATAATTTGTTATGAACAATATTCAACTTGTCGAGAAAGATGGCATGTTCGCCTTCTCTGATTAATACGTAAAAAATGTCCCATGTGATCCCTCGAGTGTTCATGCACACACTCTCACGCAATCACCACCTTTCTCGTACATCTGTTATCTCTTTAAAGATAGTTAGCAAAAACAGAAAAAAAAAAAAGAAAAAAATAACTCTTTAAAGAAATTAGAAATACACTAGGAAAGACATA